TGGAGGTCCCTTCCCCAAGCTTTTTTTTTTTTTAATAAAAAATGAAGAAAAAAAGTCGTTTGCAGATTGGCTAATTGAGCTAGCAAACCGCGGCTTCGGCATGTCCACGGATGCCTTCCTTAAATCAGTGAAAAAGTTCCTAAACAAGGAAGTAAGTATTATGCGATCTAACAACCGCTCGCGTTCCCCACCATACCCCAGTCATTTGCTATGTTTTATTTCACGATGCTAGGTCATATTTTTGGAATCGATTGCCAGACTACTTTGCAAGTGCAAGCGGAAGCTTATAAGTGGCTTGCCTGTCGAAATTTTGTGTGCAATTACGTTGTTATTGTTGTGTCCGGATACTGGGCCAGCTGTCCGGATACTAGGCAACTTAGGAGCTCTGCAAACATATTAGTTTCGCGATGGAAACAAAGGCAAAAAAATTAAACTTTCTTTTGTCATATTAAGGACTAAATAGATTCTCTCTGGACCAAATTTCAGAGCTCTTGCTACTAACAAAGGAAAGTTATTGCAATGTTAAACTGAAGTGTCCGGATACTGGGCAACATACTGTATCCGGTTTTAGCACGAAAATATTAATTAGTACCCAGTGTTGCTCAGTTATGTAGACTGGCGGAGCTCCAGGCGATCTTTTGTGTTGTTCTTGTTTTGATAATTTTTGAAATCATTATATTGTCTCAAAACCTGATTTTCTGATCAGGCAATCATTCTCGACCTTAAAAGGTTTCAGTAGGTTTCTTGTTTGCGCATAACATATACATTCCCTGCAACTTATCAAGATGGACAATAGCTTACGTGTGCTTGTTTAATTCTTTATTTGGATTTATTCTGTAATAGCAATTCCAGAGTCAGCAGCAAGGGACTAATTGGCAAAGCAGTTTCCCATCATTGGCAGGTAATGTGCAAGCCAAGATTCTTTCATCATCTTCAGATACCTCTTACTTGTTATATGTTTGGTATCTCAGTTTATGCTTTCAAGTTACCTTGAAAGTCCGGTTTCAAACATCGATTCTCGACTGAAATCTTTGGGCCCACTAATTTGTTTCAGATCTCAATAGCAACATTAAAGACATACCTCTTTGTTGGTACATTCGTGTGCATAGGCTTGCAGCATGGTAAAATGGATTAAAAAATTGAATCTTGAATAGAAAATTTGCATGATGACACTGTTTGGCTACTGAAGACATAGTCATTCAGGATTTGGCTAACTTTCCTTTCCAACAGTGGCTTTTGAATCTACCATAAAAAACAATGTCTAGTCAAACATAAAATGTATAAGAAAAAGATGTTGGCTTGCAATTTAAACCATTGTCTCAAGCAGTAGTATAAGAAAAATCAGGGTGTTGATATGTTTGTGGGACTTCCACTGAGTGATCATATAAAAGTGTAGTTAATAAAATTTGCTCACTTATTAAATTTACAGCGCAAATGCCTTAGAACAACTGATTTAAATATTTTGGATGGAGAACAAAACCTCACTTACTTGCTCTTTTTCATATAATAATCATTTTCAGAAATTTTGTGTGTGGAAGCAACAATATGGTATATTGTCTGTGACAGTGTGATACTTGTTTGTTCTTTTTAGAGGGACTTTGTCTCATGACAGATGACTTTTCATTTGCAAGGGTCATATGCAGGTACTTTGAAGTAAAGTTCAGTTTTTTGAAGTTTTGAGTATATATCACCACTGCTAAGTCGAGGCAAAATTATTTGTAGAGATAAAAAAATGAAACATTTTGCTAGAATGGGCTCAACATTTCCAAGCAATGCAGTAGTCGAATACAGTTCATTATGCCCAATAAGATATATATATATAAATATATATATAGTTAGCCGTTTCTTTCGGTGTATTCAATTTCAGACAAGTATATTAATTGGCAGTCAATTCACTGACAGAGCTTGTCCTGCTAGCTTGCATGGTGCAACGAAAGTCAGTTTTACACGGCAAATTGTAGATTTCATACAATGTACAAAACTGACCAAGCTGATTCGTCAATGATAAAAAAGATAAATGTATTAATCAGTGACCTGCTATATACTAGGACCCCCATGCATCTTTTATGTGTATATGACCATCTTTTCTTTTTAAATATCACAGATGACCACAATACTGTCAGCAGGACCTCAGGGGTCTTGTTATGCCTAACGTTGCAAGAGAAAGCCCCCTTTTTATGACACACACCTTCGAAGAGGTAACACTCACTGAAGTAAATTAGCCAAATAAAGATTAATTTGTTTTATTATTCATTCAAAATATTTCCCCCGATTCTGATTGGCTAAAAGCACACGCATAATTCACCATAACCAGTTATTGATGACCAAATTTGGAAGAATTTTGTGTTTAGCGAGGAAATGACGTCAAAAATGCAGCGTTTTGGCAGGTTAATGCACCGTTAACCGAGAAGACCTGGGGTCTAGGTCAAGTTGTTTTGGTTGTGGAAACAAAAATGGCGGACATTTCACTCGTTTCAAGAGTAAGAACTAGGCGAAATAATAGCTAAAAATATGGCAAGAACTGCAAGAAGACAACTCGAAGGGTGTCATCTGCTATTTGGATAACATTTGCAGAGCTGAACAACCCTAAACGTGCACTATCGAAGATGTACTTGACATCGATGGATTGATGGAAGTAAGCATATGTTTTAGCATGTTTTTAAACTAGGAATTATTTTGAATGAACAATAAAACAATTATATTGAATTCGCCTTTCGTATCATATGAAGAATTATGGAGATCTCGGAGGGTGTTATCCGCCTCGGCCTACGGCCTCGACGGATAACACCCTCCTCGATCTCCATAATTAATCATAAGATACTCAGCCTCATTCATTAATTGTTAAATAACAGTTGTTCTAAAACCATCATATTGGTGTCCGAGGGTTGCTACAGAAGCTTCCCATAACTATTGTCCAAGATATCTTTTGAAAACCTAGAAGACATGGACTATATAATTCCATCTCTCTCTTGAGACAATCTCTGTACTGACATATGGAGACCGCTTAGTGATTTGACCACTACGCTACGAATGGTACTTAAAATATTGATCCCACCAATGACTGTCTCAATTAAACTTGACTGTAATTGCCCTTTGATGTGATACGGTTTGCATAAAAATGAAGTGAATTGAGTTTGGAAGAAAAAGATTTTTTTCTTTGAATAGTTTAAAGAATAAGAAACTTTTAGAGTTTAGGGTTTGGCAATTACGTGATTTGGCAGAACCTATTTCACTTAATCCACCTCTCAAAGCTGGCTGCAGTTACAAGTGTGGGTCCGGTATTGTATGGTTTAATTCTCTACCGATTCCATTAAAGAAGTGGATTTAAACTGATTTTATTTTTGCACACATTGCAAGATAGTAAATGCAAGAATACAAAGAGAAAAAAAGTGCTAAAAACTTGAGGCAATATCAACTGTTCAAGTAAATGTGAGTGACCAATGCGTTTGGTAAATGCAGTGCTTGTAATAAATCATTTGTAGTTTACATGGCAAGGGACAGAAGGTGGAAAGGTCATGGTGGCAGAATGGCTACACTGGGTTGATCTGGACTTGCTTGACTGGCTTGATATGGACTGGCGTGACCTGTAATGTTAGTTAAAACAATAAGGGTGGACATCAACAGTTACTATAACATTAAGGAAATTAATGGACAGGGGAGTAATAAATAATAACTCATCGCTGAATAAACGTAAAATACTTAAATCAATAATTTTGTTCAATAATCAACAAAGCATAGGCAAGTAAGTTTAAACCTTTAGACTGAAAAGACTTTTTGCCTGCATGTGTCTATAGAGAGTATGGCCGATAGAACCTTTTCTATTGTCATACCAAGAGTAACTTTTTTCCCAGAAGAAAGGGGGCCTGGGGAGGAATTTTCGGCCATTCCGCCAGTCTGGAGGACGTAAAAGAAAAGCGGTATGTGTTTTCTGATTCACTTATGGTGCTTTCTGCTAAATACACAGAGGCTACACAAAAAAAGACAGGAGAAAGAAAATAAACCTTGGGATAAAGAGATACAGCAAGAGATAAAAAAAAAAGGGTCCGAAATGCATTAAAATCGGCGTACATTTAGGACTAATAGTAATCCTTTCGGGTGACTGGGATAGCCATTAATATGGAACTCGTGTAGTAAACAGTACGTAATCGTCTGAAGCTAAAAGTGCCCTTTTACTATCCCAGGCAACCATTCAATAGATTCACATTAGGTCCAAATATTTCAACGGGAATCTTCCTAATTATGCATGTAATCCGTAATTATGTGGCAAGTACAGAGAAGTCGACTTCAGCAGATAAAGTTTGTCCCGTGTCTCTGAAATACTAGAAAAGGCTCCGACTCCATTTTCTGGTAAGAAATAATTAAGCTCGTTCACTCAATTGATCCATGGCGTTTTCTTGTGCAGATGCCAGGGGAAAAAGGAAAACGAACAAAGAGAACAAAAGGAAGGCACCGATCCCCACAATAAAAAGCAGCGAGAAGACTACTGGCAAACCAACCTACAGTCATTGACAAACGTCTTGGGACAACTTAGCTTTCTTGATTCATTTTGTGTGTTTTTGTGTCCACAATTTTGCCATTTTTTCTGGTTTTTCAATTTTGCACTGATAAAGATTACAAGTAACGTGAGTATTTCATGAATGTCCCAAGCACCTTTGTCCTTGACTGTAGTTTGGATCTACCTACGGACAAGTTTTTTTTAACCTAATAACTGGCTGACGACAAGGGTTTAATAGGATTCACGGTAGTTGGGCATCAAGCATGAATAACTGGATGATTTTGGTCGTTGATAATACTTTTTTTACTCATATAGCGAATTGTAACGAATTAAGCACAAGAAAATATTGAAGATTTTGTTCTCTTTACAGCGAGATCAGCAGCTTCCTCCAACAAGCCTCACTCGTTCTGTAAAAGACGGATTTCTTGCAATCAAAGACTGTCGGTTGTGCGTGCAGATCGCAGGGAATTCAACTAATAACAACTTATAATATCAATCATGACCGTTACAGAGATGGAGCATATGCAACTGAGACGAGGTCACTACTCGCGTACTTACTTGAACAAATGACAGATGCATCTTTATGGTGACCGCAGTTATGTGAACCCCATCCATTGTGCGGGCAATTCTCAATGGAATCTTCACTTCCCGCACAATTGACATTGTCTAGCCAGATTTGACCACTTCCAGCACCGAAATGTGCATCATTTAAAGCGCTAACAGCGTCAGAATATCCCAGCTGACGGCATACGACTCGAGCATTATTCATATTCCAGATGTCATCGCACACAGTTCCCCAGCTGCCGCTATACAATATCTCTACTCGTCCCTCTCCGTTCCAGCTTCCACCAACAAGTCTCAGTCCTGCGAAAAGAAAATTACAGACCATCTGATGTTACCCTAGAGAACTGTTTCTTTTAAATATCGCGCTATCCACGTACAAAGCAAATTCCCTTGAGGACATCACGTGGACTGAATTCACTATAGAAGCTTTGACTGATTGATACACTTGCTGACACGCGTACAGAAAAATAAATGGATAATATTAATAGTGATAATGCTAACACACACGCAAACTGTGAGTTATTAAAAGGTTAAAAATCAATATCGTACTTCGGCGAACTAAACACACCATCCTGGTTTCGTAGATTATCAAAGTAGAACTCCATTAACCGACACATGCCAGGCGAGACGTTTTAAATGTTTGATTTTCCAATTCTTAAAATGACTGTCTTGATGTACAATAAAAACTTTCTTTCAGATCTGGAGAGTGATGGAGAAATTTTTAGACTTACTTGACACTCCAGTTGCACTGATTGATGGCGATACACTCGCTGAAATTCCTGCTGCAAAAGAAAATTAGCAGAGAAACAAACAAATAGTAAGGGAAAATCGGCGTATGAACTTTTTGACGTGACTTTTTGATAGCCTAATTTTCCCCTTCCCATTCACTAGTAGACATAATCCTCATACCCATACGTATACGATGTTGTATAAAGCCTCTGTTGACGTTGTTTCCATAAAAACCCATCCTGGGCGGCTTAATTTTGCACATGTCACTTGGAATGGAAAGAACGAAAGTTTAACGTTACTGTGTAAACGGTTGGAGAATGTTCGCCTCTCTTATATCTGTCATATGAATGCAGTCAAACGTTTTCCATAGTGTACGGTTTAATTAATAAGTTAAGCATATAGAATTAAGATCGTGAAACTACTTACCGCTGTCACTTGGGACGGAGCTAGAAACTGTCGTTACTGAGAGCTCTACTACAAGTACAAAATAAAATGTGTTTCTTACAATTCTAAAACTGAATGCAGGAAAAATCAAAACGGAAGTTTCTGTTACCTGATGTTGGTGAAATAGTTGTAGGTATTGAAGATGTATTAGCTATAAAGTAAAAGGTAAATGCACAGAGTTAAATTAAAGTATTTATGAAAAGAAACAAACTAATAGGTAGCTAAGGTAGCTAGTTTTTTCTCCACTGTTTTGCACTCTTACTAGCTATAGGCCTTAATATTATCTTGCTTTTGCATATACTAAATAACGCATATAAAGCCACACTAGTATATTCGTCAATATATGCATAGGTTGGTTAGGTTGTACTTACTTGAACAAATCACCGATGCATCTTCACTGTGAGCGCAGTTTTCTACACCCCATCCACTGTGCCCACAATCTACAATAGACCTTTCAATTCCCAAGCAGTGTACATCATCCAACCAAATTGGACCACTTCCTTGACCGAAGCGTGCATCGTGTGGAGCACTAACAGCGTCTGGATATCCAAGTTCACGGCAAACAACTCTCGCGTCGCTTATATCCCAGATGTCATCACAAACAGTACCCCAGTAACCATTGTACAAAATCTCTACTCTTCCTTCTCCTTTCCAGTATCCTCCAACTAACCTCAAACCTAAAATGAAGCGACAATATCAAGTATAGTAAAAATCCTCTGTACAGTTTAAATAATCGCACATTCCTCCGTATCGCTTATACATCCGTTAAGCTACGAAACCGTGGAAGTGGAGGGAGGGGGGTACTCCCCATGATGGCCTATACGGGAAGACTCCCCCCGTAAGGGATACCTTTGTCAGGCTTCAGGAATATAAAAAGGTAGGGATTTCACTCGTAGAAGTATATTTTAAAAGGGGAGGAGAATGTGTCATTTGAGTCTGTGAAAGGGCTAACAGATGAATTTTATGGTTTTATAAAGTCGAGAAAACGTTCAATTTTTGTGATTAATTCCTTTAAAAAAAAAAAACAGTGCATTTACAGCAGTTAAAAGAGATGCAAAGTTCAAAACAAAGTATGTGAAAGGGGTACCATTTCTCAATAGAAGGTATACAAAAGAGGTACTGTTTTTTGCAAAAAAAGGTATATAAAAGGTTAAGGCGTAGGACCCCGGAGCGGAGCCTCCCCGTGTAAACATTTGTTGAGTAACCCGTCTCCCAACAAGTGAAACGAGTGAAATTAAAGTCATGTCTGCGCTACTTGCCTCGGTGACTAGCTATGAATTCACTTTTGGAAAATGAGAATGAGTAGTCCAATTGTCTCAGTAGAAGCCAACTGGCGTACTACCTTCTATTCGGCTATAAAAAGTTTTGAACACGGGCAAAAAAGCCTTTCTTTACACAACTAAAGTTCACAACTACATCGCTTAATTTGTTTGTCTCAAAGATACAACGTAAGATTTGTAGTCTTTAAAAATCATTCTCTATTTTGTGGACGCTATCATTAGTTTATTAGTTTCTCTATTTATCTCTCAGAATTATGAATCATAAAATTATATTAATAATAATAATAATAATAATAATAAAATTATTAGTATTATTGTTATACTTAAAATACCTAATACAAGCTCTGGATGCGCTAAAAAGATACGAGTCAAGGCGTAATATTGAAGCCAGCTAATTTTCTTACCAAAGGAAGAGACTGAGGAAGAAGCTGCAACTGTTGGAGATATTGCTGCAAGTTAAAGAGAAACAGTCAAATAGGTGAGCAAGAAAGTAGTATCA